AGCACAACACCGCTTAGAAAATTAATTGCAGCCTTAGAACAGGGCAGCACTGCACACTGCAGGGCTGATCGATGATCTCCATCTGGAAGAGATGAGCTGTGCATATGCTTACTGTAATACACACAATGGCATGGTTTGTCCTGAATTGTTTTCCCAGAGACGACTGGCTTAGTTTCATCTGCAAAATATTTTTAGGAGAGGAATTCCTGTAACTACTTAATTCATTTTTTTAATAACTGAAATCTCAATTTTCAATACTTCAGTACAAAATTCACCCTAGAAGAGTGGGTAAAGCTTTGCTGTTTCTAGATATACCAGTCAAGACAGAGCTAGACCACTCTCAAAAACAGTTTACCTAGAAACAACTTAAACCCCAAGTGTTTCCACTCTTGTACACAAGCTTACTTCCCTACTGCTGGCTTTGTTCCTTAACTTCTGCAGCTCAGGAGATCAGGGTGCAGTGACTTGCTTGAGTGCATAAGTGACAAAAGGGCTTTTTGCTGTGTGAAGCCCGTGAGTTGCTGATGAGCTGCCTCCTTCCTACTCACATTAGAACCCTCTGGCCACCAGCAGCTGGAACTTGTTGAACTATGGAGAGTGAGCAGGGCAGGGCTGAAGGAGGTCATGAACTTATGGTACACACAGCTGGTAACTTCTGGAGCATTCATTCTGTCTAGCTGCGCTGGTCTTTCTTAAAGTTATTTGAAATTTAGCTTTCATTCTGCGCTGTCAAAGACAGCAACACTTGCAGCTCTTTGAACACTCGCTCCTCCAACTGCACTTGAATGTTTTCTTGACATAAGGAAGATCTGGAGTATGTCACTCCTTGCTGCAGCCCCCTGCTGTGTGCCTCCCTCCCCTCTCCCAGGGCCAGGGTTCCCCGTGCATAAGGACCGAACTCTGATCCAGCCCAGCTGTGTAACCTTGCTCAGAGTGCTGGAAAAATGCTGTGAGAAAGCCTGGGGAAATAGGAAAGGTAAAACAATGGCAGAGGTAGAGCTATTAGGACAGGATTGCCAGTACCTCAAGGGTTAAGGAAGGAAAGCAGCAACATGAAAAGGGTATAAAATCTAAAAGAAGAGCAAGGCTAGTCAGGAAGCATCAGGTAAGTTTGTTGGAACAAGTCATCAGTGTCAGTAGCACTGATGGAGCTTTAGAGGACGGAAATGTGGCAGTGCTGAGAGTCTGCTCCAGGGAGCTGCAAGAACTGAGCCTTCCCCTGCTGCCCGATGTTTGCCTGTCCAGCAAAGTCACTGCTGGTATCTTGCTTGGTGAGCAGACTCGTGCTCAGCCTAATGGCTGGTGAAATCCTTTCTTTGCTGTGAGCTGGTCAATAAATAACTGCTTCATGTGCCTAGTTATGTATATACTGCTTACAGATTATCTTTGAGACTGGCTAAAGATACCAGAACAAATACTTGTAAATACATCTTCATTTCTTTTTATATTCACTGGAAGGCAAAAAAAAAAAAAAATTGGCAGAGTATTTTCTCATTGGTATGTAATAATTTCCCATTGGAGAAAGGTTGAAGCACACAAAGGAAAAGTAATGTTCTATCTGTACTTGCAAAAAACTAAAACTATTTACCAAAACATTGAATTTGCTGGTAAATTTTCTCTCGGCTTACTTTTGAATCATTGTTTTATTCCATTACCTTCGAGTGCTTCACAGATGTTGCTTAAAACCACCAGCCCTGTGTGTGAATTTCAGGTGGTGAAAATACTTACGAAAATTCCAACTGCAGATGACTTCTTTAAATCAGCAGAGTGCACGTGTAGAAACCATTTTCCAAGTACCTTTCCCCTTGGTAACACTTGCATGCTGGGCTCTAAAACAATAATGCTACTTAGAAAGCTGCCTGAGCAGGTTGACCTGAACACCTGTAGTGTTCAGGGTGCCACATACCTTCATTCCTTAAGTTCCCCAAAAATCTCTTTCTATCCCAGTGAAGCTGTCAAAACAGGTCAGTTTATTCAGCTCAAGGGACACCAGTATAACACAGCAGAATTCAGAATACCACTGATGTAAGTATGGAGTGAGGGGAAACTGCTGTAAAAGGCAAGATAAGTTAAACGGTTACCACTTGCCTGTGGAGAATCCAGCATTTCTTCTTGGACATGGAAAAAAACCCCAGTAGTATTTTTCCTCGATATTTCCCCTTTACTAGAGAAATGGGCTGCACGGATTTCTCAGATGGTAGATGTGGTTAGAGTTGTCCTGTAAAGGAAAGACTGACTCACTCCACAAGCAGGCCTTTACACTCTCCCTCTGGTTACTGCCCTGTAAATCTTTGCTGTTCTGACATCAGCTTGGCTTTTCTTAGTTGCTGGAGGAGAAGTTGCCAAATAGAATAGGTTTTGTATATCCTAACCCCTATTCTGGATAGAACTAATGGACCGAGACTGAAAGCCAAGAGCCTCAGATTTGTTTGGGTTAATCAATGCCAGAATTTGTTGGCTGAAGAATGATACAGATGATCTTTCACAGTAGAAAGACTACGTCAGTGTGGCAAGCGTTTTGGAAGGTAACAGCACACATTTCTTAAATGCCACCAAATAACACATTGGCTTTCACAATAAGACACTGCTGGACAGGATAGGATTAAGCATCTTATTCCAATGCATGTGGAAATTTGCAAATAATTTTGGAGTGGTTGATCACAGCAAAAGAAACGAGTGCAGTGAAGTGTGCACAGGAGCAATAAGAGCACAAACCTATACAAATATTCTGGTACATAAAATGCAGTTCTGATACGATGTTTCTGGGCAAATTAAGGTGGCAAAGTTTTAGTAAATCTTTGAGTTTTTCTGGTATGGTGGAGGTACTGTGGCATAAATTAAAGCTAGAAGGAGAGAGCAAAACAGCACTTTCTAATTAAGTTTTTTTCCCCATGAAAAACTAACACAGAGTACCAGGAAAGTCCTTTAGACTACTCTGACTTACTCTACAACTATTCTAGCCCAATGTATGCCAACAGTCATTAGCAGGTCTCAGTTGCTCAACAGTACTTTGTTATAGTACTTGTCTTGCACCTGCCCAGAGTATTTAATTTAGAAAATAAAGAAAAATAAAAGATTATGTTCAGTGCCAAAAGAAAGGCTACTTTCTAATCAGTAACAACCAGCAAACAACAGGGTCGGTGCATGATCTTACATATAGCATTTGTTCTAGTACACAATTACCCTACATGAATACGATGCTTATCTGTATTTGTTAAGAGGTAAAAGAAATTATTAACAGTAGGTTTGTGAGTAGGGTTCAAAATAGGTTGTATGGAAGAGGACGGAGTCAATGTTTGAATGAGCTAGTTGGTAATAAATATGAGTTTTATTATATACAATTAAAGTATATTACATAAAGATACTGCATTACTGCAGATTGCCTGATAGAAATGATACACACAGCCTTATTATATCAGGCAAAAGGTACAAATCTGAAACCACTCATTCTTATCAATTATACTGAGAGAGCTAAATTTATCATAGGGATAATTAGAAAAGCAAACAGAGATCAAAAACTGTTTCCAACCTGCACTGAGTCTATTTTCATACAGCTTTTTTGAGGTAGTATTCATACTTAATTCAAAAAGACTGCTTATTAATCTGAGATTAATTCAGTATGGTGATAAACATGAATAATTAACAAAACCCTCTGAAAGTTTTCTGTATTCATCTTCCTATGCATTCCATTTTAGACAGGCAACATACTGAACCAATATATAAATGACCCCAAAATGGTTAAATGGTATTTTTTTCAGTTACAGGAGTTGAGTGCTTAGTAAGCATAGTGTGATTTTTTTTCTCTCCATTAATGATAAGGGCCATCATTGTTGAGGATGTCTTCATTGCATAAGCTACTGCAAACCAAGTCTCCCAACCTCTAGATGAGTCTCTTTGCTAGCTCCACCGGAAACACATTTATTCTCAGTATCTTGTGCTAGTACTGTGTGACTGAAAGCTTGAGCCGCACGCCACCTGCAACATACCCCCACCTGACATCCCCAGCAGGCTGCCTGCCCCACCACAGGGCTGGTGGAGCCCTTGGGATACCTCAAAGCTGTGTATGCAATGGTCAGGACTGTCTCCCAAGGGGGAGAGGGTTCTCCAGAGCAGCACAGCCTGGGGTGAGCGAGCCTCCCCTTTGCTGCTCCAGCACCTGTAGCAAGGTGCAGGAGCCCACTGGATCACCTGCCACTGCTCTCTGCCACTGGATGCACTCTTGAACACCCAAAGCTAAGTCAGAGCCCCTCTCCTGCCAAACACATCAATACAAAGCCACACCAAGACCATGCAATTGGTAAAGCATTTGGCTGAGGAGACACAGCAGTCTGAGTTTTCCTCTTTTGTTTTCCCAAGCCTTACTTTGGACAGAGCAATCCTCTATTGGATATGTGCCATCAGCAGTAGTGATTTTGCCAAAAAGATAATAAAATCAAAGATTATCTTTAAAGAAATAAAGTGCTTAAAGATTGCAGCTGGAAGATTGGGGATCATTTTGCATTCCAGTGAAGTATCACCTCTGCTCTCCAGAACTCGGTATGCCAGCCAACCCCAGCGCACGTGGGGAAACAAAAGCACTTGTAGGCAGCAGTCTGATACTATGAGCTACCAAAGTGACCCTCCATTTCCACCTTTGCTTTTAGAAAAATGGTTAGCATTCACAACTATAGCACACAAGCCTGGTTACACACAACTCTCCGTGCGGGCTGACACAGAGAACAACAGAATTTTTGCATTCAGAGCAAACATTTCATCATATACTTTTCATATATCTTTTCCTGTTTTGCCTAAAAGAGTGACTTTGTAGTTGATGCGAAAGAGTTAAAATTTGATTTTGATGGACAACAGAGGAGGGAAAAACCTTGACAGTAAAGCACAATGCAACTTCAAAGATTTCAAAATAAATGTGAAGGTTTTACCATAACCTGGTTGGGGGTTTCCCCCAAATAAAGGAAGGACCGAAGGAAAAAGACGATACACTTTTTTTTTTTTTTTTTTTTATATTTTTTATTCAAAAGTTTTCAAAGAAATAAAACAGAAAAAAGCTAACAATCTAATCAAATTTACAGTTCAAAAATGTCTTTTGGCGTTTAACAACAAGTCCTAGGAAACAAAACTACAGAGTTATCTTGAACCGGACAAATAATTTACCACTGGCAAGTTTGTGGCACTAGTAAAACAAAAATAAAAAATTAACTCTCTTGATCATATAGATATCTCTATGAAAATCTTTTTTTTTTTCAATCTGTACAAAAGGTCTTTCTTCATAAATTAATTTTTTATAATTTAATGGCTGTCTACTATGTGATGTTTAAGTAACTGATTATTTCTTTATGTACAGAGGTTAAATTTCCCAAATCTTACCCAGACAATGAGTATGGCACTTAGTTCAGACATTTCTGGCAGCAACTCTTCCCTCCCTCGAACACAGCTATCATACTGCAGTTTTAATTAATGCAAAAATAGCAAGTAGTGAGAGATCCAGGTTTGGAAAGTTACCAAGTACAGGCAAGGTGCTGCAGGAAGTCTGGACTTTTACAAAGCAGTAATATTCCAGGGAGCATAGAACCAATAATACCACAACTTTTTAAAAAAAGAAAAAACAAAAACACATCTCTTATGACTATGCATTTCACTAGAATCTACACTTCTCAGAGCAGCAATTTACTTTTGAAACTATGAAATGTCACCGACATCTATACTCCAATACTCACACAAAATTTAAAAACTAAAAAATACTTGAAAGAAACAACTGCTTAGCCCTAGCTCCTGAGCTAGGATGATTTGGTCTGTGGAAACAGGGAGGGCCAGCAACCTGTCCCAATACAAAAGGAAATAAACTTTGAGGTAGATAACTGATCATATACAGCTGACCAGAGAAGTACACAGTTTTGGAAGACAACTTAATTTATCATTCGATTTAAAACATATGCAATTGTAATAAAGAGCTTTAGTAGCAGTGAATTATTTAATATGTGAAGTACAAATAACTGTGTATTTATGAATCAGGAATTTCATAGTTTCAAAATTGGTTTTCTTTACACTTAACACTTGTAGTGATGATGTAAAGTGTGGCACTGCTTGGATCCAAGTCTTCCTTCATGCTTTTGTGTCCATACATCAATTAAAATTATAAAACCTAAATGCAAATGTACAAAAAAGGCACATTCTCCTAACCGCAAACTGGTCCGGCAAAAATAAAGAGTACAGAAGACGCAATGCTGAGACAAATCAGAATTATTGGTTACTGGCTCTTTGTTCTTTGGTAAAGTTACCTTTTAAAAGTGCCAAGTCTTTTTATTTACCTACTATAGAGAGCTAGTACCCAATCAATTATGCTTCTACTTAGATCTCAGCATATGTTTGAAAAACGAGTCCTTTAGCTTTTGCCATTTTGCTGTAATAGCAACTTTTCTGTTTGCTAAGTCTCAGCACAATCCTCATCCTAAAGCACTATCATTAGTATAAAGGAAGGACAAAAACATTCGGTGATATCTCCACCCCAAAGTCCCTATTCTACCTATGCTAAAACTAGAACATCGAGTTAGTTTCTGAAAAAAGGCAAAAAAAGATTTTACATTGCATCATACAGCAGAGTTCCTAAATCATTCAAACTACCAGAGGGAACTATTGGCATATGGCCTTACAAACAATTTATACTATTAAAATTTCCCCAGTCAGAAAATGTGTTTCACACAAAACATTTTTTCCCCTCTTGCATTTCACTACCTTACATATTATGTGAAAAAATCATTAAAAACACTTACTACACATTAAAAAAGCCAAATTTTCAGCAATTTTTATTGACTACCTTTAAAAGCCCTATGCTGCTGTTTTACAAGGCATAATAGACCAGCTCATTTGGTCAAAGCGTTCTACACCATTAGTTTGGACTACTTACTGAAACAGCTACAGCATTGAAAGATTTAAGGCAAATTGGAATTTATAGAAAAGGATAAGACACTTCACACTACATTAAAAGAAAAACAGAAAGCTAAAAGACCAGACACTATAACTGCAACACGGCACTAAAGCAACACTCACACACTGCAAGCACAGAACATCATCTTAGATGTTTTACTATTTTAAACTTCAGAAAATCCATTTCATACAAAAAAAAAAAAAAAAAGAAGAAAAAAAGAAAAAAGAAACAAACAAAATAAAAATAAACCAAAACACAAATTCTGTCATGCACGTGAATAAGTCTTCGTGGTCATCTGTGCATACCCAGAAATTTGAATATTTTTTTTTTTGCGTCATAACACTTGATAAAAATTTTTTTTTTACTAAAATAAACCTGTTCATGGGAACAGCTACTAGATGAATTTAAGGTTTTTCTTATGCACCTTATAGAACTTATAGCAAAAATAGTTTTAGTTGATTTCATTATAAATAACATTTTCAAGAACCTGTGCAAAACTGTCAATAATTCCTAAAGCACAATTGATCAGTAAAATCCATGATTGTTTCAGCCTTTGCACCCTTCTCCAGGCCAGGTCAACACTGGACATCTGTAACACAGAAAGGTCAGAGCTAGAGCGGAGTTACAATCACACGCCTTTTTTCTAATGTAGCTGTCCACCAAAGTAAATGATTTCCTATTTTAGACAGCCGAGAGAAGATTAAGTGAATCCGAGTATAAACCTGAGAAGTAGCACAGGCGGCACTGCAGGTTCTTGGCCCTTCCCAGGATAAGGCTCTCTGCCAGGACACAGCCTGTACTGTATTTCCCCCTCTTTCTCTAATAACTGCTCAGCATGCAGAGTTCCCACTGGGGAACTGTGAGGCTGCACTCAAAGCTCTTCCCTTCTTTTTTGTTTTGTTATTGTTATTTCCTTTTAATTGACCAGAAGTGGTTGAGCGTGCTACTCCTGTGGCATCTCCAAGGCTTTTGATCTCTGGAAAAGGAACACAACTTCCTTTCAGTGCAGCCTTAGGGAGGCTGTGTACAATAGCTAACACAGAGACAGCTACTGTGCCTCCCCGATAGCAATACTGAACAGCAATTCAGGGCTCATCAAATTTGAAGGCAGACTTCTCAGTGTACGGTATTGGCTTATACTGCCATACGGGTTTAGAAAAAAAAAAATACCCAGCTAATGACAAAAAAGTTTAGACAATTTTTTAATTTCTCAAGGCAAGGCAAAGTGTGGTATTTTAAGGCTTGTACATTATTGGTGCATATACAACAGGGGCGTATTTTCAAGTCCGTTTGACTATATTTCACATAGGAGCAACTTTTTGAAAAGAAGCTGTGAAGTTATTAAATGTAGCTGCCAAAGGAAAGACGCTGTGTATTTTTGATTGACTGCATTCACTTGTGCAAATGTGCTAGTTGTCATTTACCCCTCATTTATGGGAATATGTATATTGACTTTAAATAGGACATTCCCAAAAGTGCTGCATGTGCATTTAGAAAGAAGTTTCAGTTTGACAAGAGTAATAAAACTACAACAATCAAGACACTGCAATGTTCCCTGTATTTAGGGCACAAAATATCAGTCAAATCCCTCCCCTTCACTTGTCTGAAACAAGACAAGTACCAGCATGTTCCAGGGACAGAAATACCAAATGCCATACTCTGAGGCTGAAATCAGCTGAGTAATATTAACCTTCCCCATGTGCCCACTGCTATAGTCACTGCTGTCACAGATTTCACTGGCTCCTGTTGCACATAAATACAGGTAACAGTGCTTCTCTGAAGAATAAGACTTGTGAAGAACTGACTTACAACAAACACACAGAGCTTGGAATTCTACACAGAGTCATTAATACAAAATGTGTCTCAGATAACAACACAACTCATCCTCTCAGGAGACTTAAGGCTGCTCCTCCTGCCTGGTCTCAGTCTATGGGAAAGATACTGACAGGCTGGGAGAGAGAGGCAGGATGGGGATATTACATGCAGGATTACGCTTCGCTGTCCACCACAGATCTCTATTGGTAAGGAGGTTTTACATGCCCAGAGGGAAGACTTAAGGCAAAACAAATAATTCCTTGAAAAGCGGTCAACACCAGGCAACAGCCTTGGCGTGGGAAATGTGCAGGAGTCATGATTTTAACACTAGGAGATGGATAACGAGAAGAGCCTGTGGCTTTGCTTACTGCCTGTCCTGGAAGCAAATCAAGGATGTGGGCTTTCTCTAGATGCCAGCATTTGGCCAGACTACAGGAATAACACAGGTCATATGCTGTGCTACGCAGGCTGTGCCATCTGTTGAATTTGCCAAGTTTCCCCACTGGTTTGTTTCTATCTTTACATATAAGAAGCTGTTATGCCAATTATGGGGATGAGAGCAATGTTGTCAAATAGCACAGCTGACCTGCAGAATCAAAGGTAATGCCAAAATGTGTGTTCTCTTGGATCAATACATTTTAGAGAGAATATCACACAACTGTATTCAGTATTTAACAAACGCCATGAGGGCTGTAGGAAAACCCTTCTAAGACAGCCTCTAGCACATTATTGCAGCTGAATGGAATTTTTCAGTGTGAGGTCTTAGAAAATGTGACGTAAAAAATTATTTATTCAAGTTGTCTAGCTTACAAAGCACTCAAAAAAAAAAAAAAAAAAAAAAAAAAAAAAAAAAAAAAAAAAAAAAAAAAAAAAGAAAAAAAAAAAAAAAAAAAAAAAAAAAAAAAAAAAAAAAAAAAAAAAAAAGAAAAAAAAAAAAAAAAAAAAAAAAAAAAAAGAAAGAATGAATTTCGAAAGAAAAAAATTCCAGAATTTTAAAACATGGATCATGGAAAAGGAAACGATTAGTGCAAGCAACATTTTCAGGACGGAAATCTACAGAAAGAGAAAATTTTGCATGAAAGAAGTGCAGGTAAAGCTAATGACTGGCTAGTAAAAAAGGCCATGCAAGCAAAACCAGAGGAAACCTGGAGGAAGAAAGTAAAACTCTGGAATTAGAGCCAAACAAGGACATGGATTAAAAATTAATTGACAAAATTCTGGACCAAACTGCTTTTTCCTAGAAAAAAGGATGAGCAGAGAAGTCTTCAGGAGAAAAGGTCAACAAGAATTTCTACCAGACCACCTCCCTGCCAGTGGTCTGTAAATCAGTTGCAAAGCTGCTTCTAACCTTATCTGTACCACAGAACTAGAGCATGTCAATACAGTTCCCTTTAGCATTTTGATTCTCATATTTTTCCACTTATTCCTTGTTATTCTGTATACAACATGCTACTAAGATGAACAAATAAAATCCAACATAATCCAGTTATGCTATATAAAAATTATTAAAACAATATTACTCATAATTTATTAACTCATTTCTAGATCCCATGTTTCCTTCCCTGGCTTCTGACTCTGGCTAAGTTCAAACTAATTTCACTTTTTGTCCCCAGATATTATCATCAGGATTATTTATATGACAATAAAAAAAAGATTCAATACAGAGTACTGTAAGTTATGAAACAAAGTATCTTTGAATTCACATCTTTCATGAGACAGGATGAGCCCCTACCTCACAGTTATTTATTTTGCTGATACGTATATGGAGAATGGTCACTGGATGTCTCTACTGTAACCTGTTGTTGACCACTGGCTTCCTGCAAATAAAAAAGAAGACAAGCCATGAGACACAAAATCAGGTATCATTACCAGCAATCGGCAATTGACTTCTGCAATTAACAGTGTTCAGATCTAAAACCTTCCTAACATTTCTCAAGTGAGCTGTTACAAATCTGAGGTGATAACTTTACATTAATTTACATTTCAGCAAACAAGAGAAATAAAATCATCATGCAAACCCTGTATTTCCTCAGCTGCTTTGACGATAAAAAAAAAACCAAACTAAAACTTTTGACATTATAGAAATAAATACAAAGAGAGATTGCAAATAACTGCTTGAAAATTTTCTATCTGCAAATGAAAAAGAACATTCTGCTCCTCTCTTTTTGAGGGGCAGCGAGAAGAACGAGGTCTACTTGCCACATATACAAACACCATCACCATAAGTACTGTGATGTGACTGGCACCAGGCAACACAAAGAATTGTAGATGGGACTTTACACCCAGACCCCCAGAAACTATGAAATAATTCAGCTAAGAGAGCTCTGGCAGCCAGAGCTAATTACTAAAGGTACTTCTCTGATCAATATGGGTAGATCTGATCCACACTGATCCACAACCAAATCTCGGAATTTCTGGACAAATAGGCTTTAAAATTATATGTTTCTTTTTTTAGAGTCTCTGGAAGAGACTATCTAGCACTCATTCTGAATACAAGAGCTGCAGCATATCTTGTCTAGTTCCTGTAGAGGAATACTGACCTATGAGGGTGTGAGTCAAAATAGTAGACAAACTACTGTCTACCTTTTAGTTATGCTCTCCAACTAGACTAATAAACTTCTTCAATGGAGGGATTTATTAGACAAATATGCACAGTACCCTGAGTTGCCAGGGTCAATCAGGATTCTCTGTAAAAAATTACAGTCATGGTCTGTTGGCAGAGAATTTTTCTCACAGGTAAACTAAATGAAAGATCAAAACTACAATACACTCCCTATCTTGTTCCTATTGGAGTTATGTTTCACAAAACACAAACAAGGTTTGCCTGAACTATGCTTGTAGAGTAAGACTGCTCCAAGTACTGCACTGCCATAAATACAGGTCATTCCTTAATATAATATTAGCTATTAGTTTAGAATAATGATATTTTATGGGTTTAATATAAACTGCACTCACAGTACATTCATAGTTACAGTATTTGCCTTTAAGCATTAATTTTCTTAGCCCCCCCCCCCCAAAAAAAAAAAAATCAATCATAATCATATTTCTTTTCTCTGCTCTTTGACAGAATATACTGACCTCAACAGGAACTGCTGCTGTCTGGACATGTGTGTATTGGGGGATGTAGGCTCCTTGCATAGCTGTTGTGGCTGGCATGTACTAGAAAGACAGAGTCCATTATGTTGAGTTAAATCCCAGTGTAAATTTAAGAGTATTCAAAATACCTATCACGATACTGTTTAATAGATATTGATCTTTTCCCTAATGCAACATACATGAGAGAAAGACTTTTGTGTCTGAAATACACAGGCTTTCCAGAAGACTCACGTATCTATTTTGAGAAAATTCAAGTTTAGACTTCAAAGACTATGTAAAGGACTTTTCTTCTTTGTTAATCCCAATCATATTTTCTTTTTTTAATCTGCTCAGAAAAAAAAGGTCTTGCAGTTTAGAAGCTAGCCTGCATCTCTTCTTCTGATGTGCTTTCTGTTCCACACTTTAGAGATCAGAGTTGAGGAAAGGAATACGAAGAGTAAAACCAATTATTTTAATTTTTTCGATGCAACTCTGAAGTTACCTCCCGGTTCCTTTCCCTAGCTTTGATCTATTTTTATTTACTCGTTTCCAATTTCTGATCAGCTAATAGACTCAATAAAAACTGCTAAATGTAATTTTAAAATGGAGACAATTCTTAGTAGTTTATTGTATAAAAGATGGCTTAAAGGATTACATTTTTCTACATGCAAGCTGCACAGGCATATTGTGATCTACATGCAGTATTTTCTACTTGTGTAAGTTTTATTTTGTATGAAAGTGCTACGTACTGTTCCAGTACTGCCTAATGAAAGATGACTCATCTGCTGCGTCAGAGGGCTTATCATTGATGCAGGCTGTAGTGACATGGTGTGGTCCATGGAGGGAGTCAGTACAGCACCCTGGTAAAACACAGATGGAAAGAAATGGTTGCAACACTCAGATTTTAATTTCATTTTTGATTTGACAGTCAAAGTATGGACTGTCCTTCAGAGGGGATATACCACAAGAACTCTCCTTAATCCCAGGCACTGATTCAAAAAAAGCAGATCTGAGGCGTTCTTAATATTCTACTCGAGCATCTGTGTTTTGCAGTTTGACAAGACCTGCACTGCCTTCCCATTGTACATGCAGCTGATGTGCAATACACTTGAGAAACCTGCTGAAAATGCTTTCTAAAATATGAGTTTAACCAGATGCCAACTTGAAAGCAAAAAATCTGCACACGTTACCAGGTACAGTTGCACTTAGCTTAAGCTTTGGAATTTCACACTTTAGGAAGAAACTTCTATCTCATATATAGGAACAAGGGCTTTGGAGGAATATTTGTGCTGGGAGAATTCTACCCATCACACGCGATGTTCACACACAAAACAGCTGCCCTACTTAGTGGCTGGGTTCATTAGCACACAGATTTCAGCAGAGTGAGTTAGCAATGCTGATTCGAAACACTTAGCTGCTGCGATGACATTTCTATCACTTCTGCACTATTTTGTTAGCTTCATAAAAATTATACACTGAATTTTTGAACACTCTAGATTTCTAAATATGGAGGGCACACTTAAAAGGCTTTCACAGTTAACTGAAATGGAGGACTATCAACAAGTTTCATTTTACCAATCATGTTCCACAAAAACACATTTCCAAATACTTTGCCGACTTATGCTTGTAGAAGATGTTGATTAAAATTGATGGAGACTCACAACTAACAGAAATAATTGCAGTGTACTGAAAGCCAATGTTTTGAATTAATAACTAATCCTTAAAATGAAAAAAAAAAAGGAAAATAAAAAGGAGTATAGAATACAGTTGGATAAACAACCATGTGATCAGTGTAGAAGAAATGAGTCACGGGCACATCAAACACTGAAAGAATTTCCTGTCTGAAGACTGCAGGCTTCTCTGAAAAGCAAACGAACAAGACAGCACCCGTCGTTGCACAGGCCAAAACTCAACTTCAGTCAAGAATCTAGATCTTTATTTTCAACTTGAAATCTCATCTTGTGTACTTGTGCAACTAAAACACCTTATAGCATTGTAAGATATCAACTTGTGTCTTTCCCAGTATGATTTGCAAGATGTTTTTTTATGCAAATCTGTGTTGATAGAGAGGGAAGTTAAAACCTGTTGCGTGTGTATTTAACATCAAAAACCACAAATACAACAATTAGATGTGTGAGAGGGTGCTCTGGTTCAACATCACCTTTTCTGCATGCCCAAGAAGAAAATGTTCTACCAAGTAGATTTACATTGTATAATCTGCATGGAGAGGTTAATTAAAGTCAAGACCATGTCCTTTCTATATCTGGAAACAGACGTGTTTGTTAACCATCAGAGTGCATATATTAAACTGCCTGCTATTACTAGTAATGCTCATCTCAAGAAACCTAGTAAGTGTCAGATATAATGGTACTTAACTGGCAAATGACATAGACAAGAAGCAAAATATCATGGGAGAGTATAGATTAGAATGCCTGACAGTCTGGTACAGCCAAAAGTGTAGGAGACTAGCATTACTCATGAGTGGTGAAGCCAGAACAGGCTATGCAGGTTTTCTCAACTGAGTGCCCATAATGTCATTTATATCGCTACATCCATCTGTCTTTCACAAATTATCCAGCCTGAACTATGGTAGACCTATTCTAAAACTCTGGGTCTTCAACTTCAGCTCCTGAAAGATAAACAGTTTGTAAAATGATATTTGTGAAGTGTTTTTAAAGCAAAAATATAGCAAACAAACAAAAACCCAACAAAAATCCTAAACAATCAAAAAACCCACCAAATATTTCTCTTTATGACTTGGTAACTCTAGTGGTCCTCATCAGCTTGATAGTCTGAAGGTACTTTTATATTACCTGATAAAATGAGGCCCCAATTCAGGTTTACTACCTTTATTTCCCCTTTCATTTTGATCCCTGATTTAGTCATGATGTAATTGTCAAATCTGAAAGTAACTGGGCAGGAATAGACCTACTTCCTGGTGTTTAAAGTATACAAAGTATTTATACCATGAGTGACACGACAATGGAAAAGAATAAAAACTTACTGGGTGCTGCATTATATATGGTTGAGGCTGCATCCAAGAAGGACTCTGAACCTAGAACAAAATTGGTATTTTATTTTTCATTTTATTAATTCTTTTCTTGAATATTTCAAGTTACAGTAATAATTTAATAAATCATGTTAGCAAGCCCTCTCCCTTATTTATTAACCTTTTTAATCCAATTAGTCACTGAACAACGTTGATTTCTATAAAAAATGAATTTATTGTTCCTGTAAATCAGAGACAAGATTTGGAGACAATATCACATACACCTTGTAGAACACTATACTTGGTTTTTAGTGCACGTTTCAGAAACTTTATCAAGTACACCGAAAGGGTTCAAATAGATAATTGACAGATTTCTGCTATGTTGAAAAAGAAGGCACCATCTGTCTTTGAAAATCCTTTGTGGAAAATTAATTGGGATCTTAGATGGTATAACATCATTTGCCTTCTAGTGTGATCAGAATAAAATAAATTATTGTATTTTTACAAGTGAAAAAGAAATCAGGAATTTTGCCGCAATCTTATTCCAGGAAAAAAGAGAAGAATTAGGGGAACTGTTCTGTTCCAAGACACTGTGGTATGTTATTACCAAAGCACAGAAAGAAAAGAAGGATCTGATGAGCATTCCTACTCTTGCAACAAGCATTTTCTCTCCAAAATCAGTGATCACCCAGTGGTGATGGTAGCATGCCTAACTTTGCATGGCAAAGTAAATTAAAAAGGTAAACTAATGATTTTAACTGCTATACTAGTTAAAAAGACCTGGTTGCAACAGCTCGTTCAAAAATTGTGCAGCAGGAAATATTAAAAGAAGAAAAATGTTTCTTCCCCACCTACAGTAGGTGCATAGGATAAGGGAGGTGTGTAGGATAAGGCAGGATTCTGACCTGCACTGCACACACAGAGATCTGACTCACCACTGCTGCTGGACACGTAAAGCCCTGTAAACACATCTACCGTTCATTCCCAGAGTCCTGTGAACAGGACAGGCAGACACACAGTTTTGAAAACAATCCAGGTGAGGTATTTTCTGAAAGATGGAAATATTTCTTGCCTTCTTTCGGTATACTGATTTTCAAATCAAAGTAATTTTTTTTTCTTTTTCAATCAGGAAAAGAGCAAACAGGAGTTCAAAAATGGAGTGGAAAAGACTGGAACACTCCCTTTCCTCAGGCAAAATCTTAATGGCAAAAATACTGGTACACCCTGACTAAAGCTTTGGCTAATTTACTCACACTGTGATAGTAACTGGCTCAGTACAGTCATTTGGGTACACGGGAGCAGCTAAAACTTTATTAAACTTGTTTACCTTTAATAAGAATAAATCTAGGAGCAGGTTATACCATGCCTCAAAGAAAAAAATAAATAAATCATGCTTGTGTGATACGACCTGTGGAAGACAGAATGCCACAGGTTTCAGTGAGAGTAATCAGTAATGAAGATGTGACTAATACTCAAATTGTGAAACTCTTCTGGCCAAGAACCTCCTTCCTCCACAGTACAGAATACTTCAATTTAATTTTCAATTCCAATTACTGTGGTACTTCAAACATAATGATATTAATAACTCCATCCACAATAATTTAAGCATGCTATGTATATTGAAATACAGCTAACTACATTTCTGGAAACATAATGGATTGTGGTCTGCCTATCTCAATAAACTCAGAAAACAATACTGTATTCCTAAATAGCATGTTTCCATGCCAACTCACAACTTTTGCTTGGATTCTGAATACTAGAGAGTCTTATATTGATAAATAATTTATATTTTAATAAAGGATAGCAGTTAATTTTACTGGAATTTTTTTCTGGGTAAGAATTTACTGCAGTTTCTGAGATATTGCTGTACCAAGCAGAATGATTCAATATACTGAAAAATACAGTACTAGCACTGTCTGCTGAGAGCAAACATTGTGTTGTATAAGCTACCTCAGAAATAATTATAAAAATAATCCAGCTGCTCTTTGTACTAGAGAACACTTTTAATTCCTACACAACAGTTTGCTCATGCAAGAAGGCATTAGATCTCCAAACTAATATTAGACAATTCTTCCTCATTCTTCTCACCTAAAATGGAAGGCTAATGGAAAACTCTGCAAGAAAAAACTGAGGAAATGGCCCACAGTGCCTCTGTTAGCCTTCTATGTGCCCTTTACATAGCCTTCCATATTTATTCTTACACACAGTAAGTCAGAAAACTCAGCATGACTCTCACTAAAGAGCAAACAGCCTCTTCTCCTTCCTCTGATATAGAGGTAAAAATTTTCTAAATTTATTTAGTTTTGGTCATTTATGACCTGAATCACCAATGTTTACTTCATCTATGTGTAAAGCAGTAGAATGCCAAAATAGCTCATCATTTTGTGTACAGTAGGATAATTGACGTCTCCAGCAGTAATTACAGAGCATACATCTAAGACTGCTATACTAGCTGCATTAAAAGCAAGTTACTTGTATGATGCCTTAAAACTGAGCATTCCTAAGAGATTTATATCAAAGTATTAAAACTGTTCCATATAATTTCCAGCACATTGAATTGTTTATCAATATCCTTTATGGAGACTCAAGATGACACCTATCAAAATGCCTCTTCAGAGAGCTTTGGGCTGAGCTCCAAAAACAAAAAATGTCCATGATTTGTGTTTTAATTTTGTTCAAAATAAAGTAACCTTTGGTTTAGAAACATTGTCCTAGGATATTAAATACTTTACTCCTAATAGAAAACCTCTGAATTTTAATGCTAAAGTAATTATAACTCTGAAACCTTTTTTCAAATTTCCTTCTCTAATGTCAAGCAAGTTTCTGTACCCATCTTAGTACAGCTGTGTAACACATTATTGTCAGGCTTTCTGCGACAAAACAAAGAAAATGTCAAAATGCGTGGAAAAATATCTTTGAAATTTCATTTAATTAAATAAAGAAGGCTTTAAATAAAGAATAATTACTTTAAAGATGTATCGTTGACATTAAAAGAACTTGACTGAGAGAAAATGAAAACTCATACATGAAATGCAGAAGTGGGTACAAATACCTTAGTCATCAGCAGAAGTTAAGAGACTTTGTTTTGCAAGACATTCTGCATCTCATTACAGTGCTGTGCTTCCTGAAACACACACTCTATTGGTTTTAAGGCTGTCACTTTCATGCTGTATAGCATGAAGTGGACACTTCATTAAAAATGAAACATTATTGGAGAATTCATAAAACCAGATGTAACAACTGATAAATCTGTAAACTGATAAGAACACAAGCTCCAATGAACCATTTCACCTAAGTTCTAAATACAAACCTGGTATGTGGAAACCGGAGAAGCGATATATGGCGTAATAGATGTCTGAGTGATCATTCTGTTTGCTGTAATACTGTAGGGTGATGGATAAAATCTAGAAAATGCAGAAATATTTATTAAATGCCAGTTCTCTGCATCTTTCATAATGCAAACATTTTTTTGAATTAGTGGGCCATTATTCAACATACCCGTTTTGTAAAGCAGCTGTGGTTGGATCATATGTGAGTGTCATTCCAGCCTTTAAAAAAAAGTAGAAAAAATAGAGTTGGCAAAATTAATTTTGATCATAATTTATTTATCTTACTCTTTCTTTAGTTGTATTATCTTTAACTGAAAAATTGTACTGAAATAGTTTATTACCATAACTTAGGGAAAAGTTAATTGACAGAAGTAATTATATAGTGAAGAGAATCGGCGATACTGACTGTGAATACAGGTTTTCATGTTCCCATCATGAGGAACAAAATGCAGTCTGGGAAATACCTGGCTAAAAGAACATGTGTACATTTGAGAGTCAGGGCATGCAGATGATTAGGTTAGGGTGTTGCCTACAGTATATAACTATATGAATGGAGAGTGCAGTTTTCCAGAAGGTACATTTGAATTTTTCTGTCTAATACAAATGAGGTGTCTAGGCTTTCTAACCACAGTAAGTCTACGAAACTATTATCTTGGACATTAAAGATAAATATGACTGTTGACTAAAAAAAAAATTAATTCTGCACTGCACTGGTATACTATTTTAATCTTGTGAAAGTGATGTGCATTTGAGTGCTGTATAGATCAAAGGATTATTTACTACATGTAAATAAAGTTATGTTTCTGGTAGTTTTATAGTATGAGAAAGCTGAAGTTTATAATATGACCAACTTGAAGGACATTTTATTATTCACTTTCATGAGGTAGGATTCAGTGTTTTGCATTTTGCTTTTTTCCTCTAAAGAAAGATGTATTTAAGTATTTTTTTATAGAGTTGCAAACTGTCAGGTGAGAGTTGGTTGCATATTGTTAATATGCCAAAGACCCAAGCCAAGAAGTCTCAATGCCTATCATTTTCATAAGTATTCATTATTGCACACCCACACTAAAGCTTGAAGGGAGGACTTACAAGTCTCACCTCGCCTTCTCTGTGCCATGCTCTTCCATTCTGTATATATTTATTTTGATTCTGTCTCTTTTTCTGTCCTCCATCAGCAAACTTGCACAATAAAGGTTCTGCAGGAACTGAGAAGAAAGAAGAAAAATTAGTTGAAGTAATGTATTTACACAAGTGTTCAGCTCTCCAAATGAGGTACGATTTTTAAGTTATATTCCCAATAAAGCAGTTAAATAACACAGACTCATACTACAGCATCAACAACTGTTCTGCAAAACACAAGGACAGCTGCCACACACAAACAGAGCATCTGGAATGCCTTATATCTTTGATTTTAAACTACTGCTCTAAAACCTGTTGGAAAGAAACATGGTCTGTATATGTGTCTGTTGGCTTGGGGATGAACAAGAACTGTCATCTGAATTCTGAGCTTTGCCTCTCTGGAGGTATATCTAAAGAGGGTGGAGAACAAATCTGGCCAAAGGCCTATAATATATTCTCCCCATCCCTTGGAAGTTTCAGTAACATCCCCAAACTTCTGCTCATCCAGAATAGCTGGCACAGTACGTCCACTTACTCCAGACAGCAGGGTGGAGTGGGCACCCTTATCTCTTTCCACCTTACATCAAAAAAATGTCCCAACTGTCCATTCCCATTATATCTCTGCTCTATAAAAAATACACAATGCAACCAGAAATTCTTCAAGATCGTTCTTTTGGGATTTTGCATACTGACATGAAACAGCATTACCATACTTCTTTTTTTTTGTTATTATTATTTTGCCTAATATAATTCCTGACCATTAATTCAATTTTTAATGTCAGAATTAAAACAGTGGAAAGTTTGCATAGTATTCTTTCTTTCCCTGTTACTACCTTCCATGCTTCCAAGTACCTATGGCCGAAGCACAGCTCTGCTACATCGCACCACACCCTCCCTAATCACAGGGTGGAAGCACTGGTATGACTTAGATGTGAGTGCTTCTCTGCCAGTAATTCCTGACACATGAGCTGTCTAAGCTTTACCATGACACTCCTCCAGTCATTCTCTGTTTGGAAACATCTTCATGAGACATGGCTGGACCTGAAAACATACAAGTTTCCAAATGCAGAGTAAACACATGGGGTGGGAAGGCCACCTGCAAAAAAAACAACCCCAAGAAAAATTTTCAACAAAATCTATTACTATAGCCACGGTCAGTGTTGATCTCTCTTCACTCTGTCTGCATTTGCAAAAGATGATTGTTACTGAAAACCTCAGAGACACAGAACCTCACAAAGAGCTTGACTTTTAAAACTCTGACACAAACCAGCGTTAACCAAGTCAAGTCATCCCTGGCTTTGAATGGCATAGCTAAAACACTAGCTCTGGTTATACTTCTACCTTCTCTATAAAAAAGGAATGAGCTGGGAGACAGAACTGGTGTGTGGTTCCCTGTCTTGTCTCCAACACTGATGACACAGGTCAGAGACCTGTACCTTTCCTACCTGTGTGCTCTTATACAGCAGGCAAATCACTTCAACATGAGAGTCAGACTATTATATTAAACATGACAATGGAAATATTTAAAAATGTATTATCCTAAAGAGAATGGTAATTAAAAGTAAATAAAATAAACCAGGAAAAGTTTAGGCTAATGACACTGGAAAAAGTGTTGGAGACATTGTTAGCGGAGTAAATGAACAAGGAAATACAAGAACCCTTAAAGTAGAAGAATATTTTCTTCCAAACCTTGCGTTTTTGAGTGGACTTTTGGCATTCCCAGAACTGAGTTTTGCTTTGGAGTCTTTCATCTTGCAAAGCAACTTCTGTCCCAGCATGTTTGGGGCAAAAAGGTATTATATCCATATGCTGATGGACAATTTGATGTTACTTTATAGAAGTCAATGACCTAATAACTTTGGTCATAGCACAAGACATTTTAATCACATACAGTTCTGTTAAAATAAGAGGAGTTAATCTCAGAATACAGTAGTCAATATGGGTAAAATTCTCAGGTTCTTGTAGGAAACTATTTTAATTGATTTTACATGGTGAGGGAAAAAAATTCATCAGAAACAGAGAGTGGAGATCCAAATACTGAAGCTAACTGCCATAAGTCTTTGACTACTTATACGTTATTTCAAAATCTAGTTTTGTGGAGAGCATATGTGACTTCAAAAATATATACTATAAAATTTTGGATGAAGTCAAAAGAAATTAGCATGAGAACAGCTTAGAAAGACATCAGAAAGTATCTAAATGTTTCTAGCCCTGTGATTCTGTATTGTAGCACTCACAGGTAGTAAATGTTTTATTTAATGCTGCATTATGCTTTCACTAAAAATCTCCATAATCAATTCTAAAATACTTCTCTGAAAGCAGTATTTGTGCTCATATTTCCCATTATTGTCTCAACATAAAGATATTTTTAAAAAAATCAGAATAAACCTGTCCAACTGTTGAATAAAATGTTCATGAAAACCTATTTTAAGAATAAATCTGATTTGTCAGTAGATAACTGAAAAGAGTTAAATTTTAGATCATTAAACATATTTTATGGGGCATTGTAAAAATTCTCCTGACAAATTTAAAGAGGAAGAAAAAATGGAATAAGAATTATCCACATGTATTGGATTTTGCATATGTAATATCCAAAACCTTCAGCAATGAAAAAACTCATTTTTAAAAAGGCATTATTTTGTGATTACCAGAAGTTAGTACTCCATCTTACTGAGCATGGATCTGGTCATTGGAACCCTTGTTTCTCTGATCTTCCACCTTCTCTTGCTCCTCATTACACCCATGAAAGAGGCCAAATGCTGCAAATGTTCCAACTCACATTAAAAAAACCAGCGCAGACCATCTATTTAATACCTTCAGCTGTTGCGAGCAGGCTCTATAGCACTGGCCTTCCCTGATTCTGGTTCAAGATCTGATAGCAGGAACTGCTCCAACTGAAAGCCTAACTGCAGTTTTTGGCTGCTCTTCCGTACATGTGACCCAAATGCTACTGTGTCTGTTCCTTCAACAACACGATGACTGATGATCATCGGATGGAGGGTCATGAGAAGGAGATAAACCTTCATGGGAGCCAAGTATGATCTACCGATCTCCCTCCCACCAAAGAATGAACATAGTCCTTACTCTCTTCAAAATTAAATCTGAAGTTTATTTCTTCAGCTTATGTCATATTTTTCACCAATATGTAACATATTCTCTCTCTTGCACATAAGATGTTTATAACAGATACATATTTGAACAAAGAACTCTTAACTAGCTGTACAGACTAGTCCAGGAAGGAAAGGAGAGTCATTTTTATTGTTTAATTGTTGGAACTATGCAGTCCCAGTGACGAGGTGGATCGTTAATCATTCAGTGACTTATTTGTATGTGCAAGACCAAAAAACAGAGTATAAATATTCAGAGTTGCCTTCGCAGCCGAGAGAGAGCTGATGTAAAAGGTACAACTTACAGTGGACTTAAGCTTTTGCAGCTAAGACACCATGTTTACTTGTCCACTCTTGTGACACCTAATGAAAACCAAGACTCCCACTAATTTATGGATGCCTGCAGCTATAGAGGTGATCTCTAACTGCAACTGTGAGCTTTGCTGTTCTTTAACAGCAGGTCAGGGCCCTAAAATTTGGGTGTGGAAAGGGCTGACCTCCTCCTCCTGCCCTGAATCACCTTCCTCTAGGGCTAAAATTTTTAGAGAAGAGAGATACGAATGCAATATTAGTCCAGAGAGTAAATTCTTCCTTGTTGTACACACTTTATGCGCATCTCTGCGTTAGAGTTCTGTCTTAATTCAGTGTTTACCCAAATACATAGCAGGTGATACTATAAATGCAAGCACAAAACCTATGCTCTTTGTTGGAATTTTTGTTTACACCCTTGACTCTACATGACTAACTTTATCAACTTTTCAATAAACTTTGACTTCAGACATGAAAAAATACAATAAAATAGTTGAAAATGCTGTTCCTTTAGCCAGTTTTCTATTAAACAGCATCTTTTATTGACTTTCATTGCTTATTTTTTAGTGCAGAGCATATGGGACTTAATGAATTCTGACATTAAAACGTCACTTAAATGATAGAGCGAGCCTGTATAGCTAGAAATTTTGCCAAAGGCTGTGTGAATTAAAAAAGAAGTTATACAACCTAAGATCAGGGCAGCTTTATATGTTTATAGAGAAATTAAATATATACCCTTCACTATCCTAGTCTCCACTTAAACACAATGCTTGGGGTTCCATTGCTTTAATAATTTGTCACAGAAGTATATTTCAAGTCAGTTTGAGAAATACTTTTTTTTTTTGATCCCTATATTGCTTCTTAAAACTAAGCAGCAATTGCAAACTATGGAAGTTAGTGCAGCATACGTTTCTAATTCACAGATTTCACAAAATATGGGAAGGGATCCACAAGGATCATCAAATCCTACTCTTAAGTGAATGGCCCATACAGGGATCAAACCCACAACCTTGGTGAGGGTCTTGATCTAATGAACGAAATTTTGGTTCCTCTGCAACAGGAGCCACACCTGCACTGTGAGCTCTTGATACCCTTTAGCAGTGGTTTTCAGGCTGTGGTTCATGGATTATTTCGAAAGAATCTGTGAAAGATAACTAAGAAATGTGAACTTATGGTCAGGTGGTTTAAATTCACTACACAGAGATCTTCAGTGCTGGATATTTTGTAAAGGCAAGCAAACAGAAAACACCCGAAAATGACTGACAGAAGACAGCTACTTCCAGGCTCCAACTGCACTCCTCTCCTGCACTAGAAAAAAGTCCAAGATCAGAATCATTTCAAACAGTAGTGTCTACCATACCTGGTGGACCTCTTCCTAGTCTAGTCAAGAGCACAAGCAGGAACAGGGCTCTCACACTCTCAATTTCCTCCCTAGAATATAATCTGAGTGATCAATACATTTACTGTAAGTGGGAAGAGTCATGGATAACCTATGATTTTTTATGATCATTGCCATAAGCAGCCATTCTTGTAAAGCAAAAATAGTATGGGATGCTCAGCAAAAAAACTCTCTACCCTACAGCCATTAAAGAAAAAAAAAAATCACCCCCATTCTTTTTCAGAAGAAGAAAAAATATTAAAAAATATATTAAATATAAAGAAATAGGTTCCAAAGCCCTTAGAACAGGCATAAAACTTCCGTAACTTTTCAACTCCTATATTTTTAATTTTAAATATGAGAGAAATATGCTCAGACATACATCTTATATAAAGCTGTAAAGCAGCACAACTGCTTTACAGAATCATTTATATAATTATTCTCACGTATCATCACCCAGCTACATGCTACTGTGATAGGGACTTGATGCCTTGCAATCTGATGCCTAGCAGATCATTTCTACAATCATTAGGGATCCAATACAAAAACAAAACCACAGTGAACATTCGTATCATCTTTAGGGAAGGGAGGCTGCTCTGCTCTCACTACACATCTCCTGGTTCCTTATACTAGTCTAGTCTGTTTCCTGCAATTCACATCATGAGGTTTACATTTTACAGGAAAATGGAAAAGCTTGAAATATCACATTATTCACTGAAAGAATAGTTCTTTAAGTTCTTCTTTAAGTTCTTTAATAGCTTCTTTTAAAAAATAGAACTAAAAGCAAAGGTTACTTCAAGGTTACAGAAATCATGTAATAAATGTTCATTTGAGAAGAGAATTGAGTATAAAAATTAAAGTTTTGAGAGAACTAGAGAGGAAGTCATAGTGCATAAAACATATAACTATTACAACAACTTAAATAAAAAAGTACAAACCCCAACAACAGAGTGAAACTAATACATCATTCCTAGGAGCTCTAGGATTATAACAACTTGCAGTGCATTTCAAATTGCTCTCTGAGGTAACACTTCTTGTTCTTTACTGAAAACAAACAAGGACTATATATTTCATTAACCTAAATAAAGCCTGAATAGCCTGTGACACCTGGGTTTAGCTTGCTCAGCATCATCACTTCCTCAACTCTAGAGTCAACACTTTTGTGACCATGCTGTGTTATCCTTGGCCTTCTCAGATTCTTACAGGTTTTTCTGTTCTGTCTTCTCATGCTCCAGAGGAGGTTTCATCTATGCTTCTTATAACCGTTTAACCCATTCTTCCATTCAACCCCAAACTTAGTTAAAATAACAAAGCAGCATTATGAAAGCATGTTTTTGTTGAACAGATGTTCTTCCTCCCACACCTATTTCATTACAGGCCTGTCTCTCCTACCCTCTTCATCCTGATAACAGTGTTTTTAAAGCCAGCTCCCTTTGCTGATTTTAGCTAAGTTTCTAGGACACGATGTTTTAATTCAAACACAGTTCCAGTTCTACAATTTTATTTTGCGTGTCTTTGAACTTGCTCCTCCATAAGCCCAAAAGATGCCAATCTATTTCAAAATCTTTTCCTAACCTTTGTTTGTCCAAGAAGTTTCCCACTACAACCACTTTTCTCAGTGCAGGTAGTCCAAGATCACAGTTGCGCCATGACTCTGCCCTGCTTTTTGGCAGATTGCAGCATATTATTATGCATAAGTTGAATTCTCTAATATCACTGCATTACTGGACATGTGCTTTTTGTGTGGTAAAGAACTCCTGGAAGAATTTGAACTCCATAAAAACCTTTGCAAGGAGCAATGAAACTCCACACAACAACATCAAGGGTCTTTAAAAAACAATGTTCTCATGACTCCATTATGTACTTAATTATTTGTCTCTTTTTCACTATCATGAAGGTAAAGCTCATGCCACTTAACTGACCTACAGACATTTAGAGTTATTTGAGTAATTTGATCTAGACATTCTTTGTAATCACAAGAATTGCTGACAGCAACGATATCACCAGTCTCTGGAGGTGTGTGTTTCTTGTCCTGTTCTAGATAGAAAGCCTAGATAATGACTTTGCCGAGTAAATATTAGAAGTCAAAGTCTGTGAGGTGGATTAAATCTTGAGACCTCTCTTTAGTTTCCACTTTCAGACAATGGACAGTTCTGTGAAAATTTCTTGATGCTAATTATTAACATTTTTCTGGTAAATGTTTCTTCTATACAGCAACAATTGCTCTTACAATTCTGTGCAATGACTTTTTCATTTTTATTTGGTTGAACCCAATCATAAAAGGGTGCAGCTTCAGCAATGACCCACCAGAGACAGAATATGATTAGCAATGACATGCTTGATGGCTCATTCACTGAGAAGAGGAAAATGCAATTGAAAATAAAAACACTAAAAAACACACTAATAGGAGGTTCTGTTACAGTTTTTTACCCTCTTTAATGTCTGTTTCTACAAAGGGGCTGCAACATTTTAACTAAATATAATAAGTTAACAAATGTAACTAAAGTAAAAAATTAAAAAATGTAACAGAGTGCCTAAATTTAACAAAACTTTGTGACAAAGTTTTAACTAAATAATCTCAGCAATTAATCCCAAGGCAAAGGGTCTGCAAAAACCCAGCCAGGGAAGTCGAAGTCCTGCATTAGATTAGTGTTGCTGAAGGGAGTGGTTTCCTGTGCTCCAAAGCACTTTCCATCCTTACTGCACCACAGACTGCCTCAAACTGGTGCAATCTGTCAGGGACGAGGCATGTATGCAGTTTTACTAAGCAAGTTGCATTCTTGTCTGCCTGCTGAGGGCTACCTTCCTCCTCCTTGGTGACAGGGTCTGGCTACAGACAACATTTCAGCAGTGGGATAAAGGCAGCTTCAGCAACCACATCAACAGCGTAATTTGTAAAATTCCCACTTGGAATTCTCATTAAAATGGTTACTGAAAGCTGGCTGGAATGTCAGGCATGTATTCTTTCCTTCTTTCTTGTCCTCTTTACTTTCTATTTTACTCTGCAGCTCTGAATTTCCTTTCCTCATTTTTAGTGTTTATGGAATATGTATTTTGTCTCTTAGAACAGTGCTGACAAAGCAAACTGATGAGGAACTTGATGTGACAACAAAATTGTACTACATAGCCTTCTAGAAATATTGTGCAAGGCAAAATGCAGAGAAGCAGCATTCTATGTTGACCTCCTTCCAGCTTCCTGAAGAACCTCAAAGCCTACACTGACTTGAGATTCGCAGTTCCTCAGTGGATGATAGCGTCAGGCATTGCTGAAGATTCCAATTTTTTTTTAATTAAATACATTTTTGAAAACACTTTGAAAAAGTCATCAACAGATGACAAAAGTAGACCATTTTTTTGCCATTGAAAAAAACCTCTGTTCATGGGCAATCAGTCAGATTCTGTTCTGATACACATATGTTTCCGGACTTTAGCTGGGATTATGTGGGATATAAATTTGTGCATAGCTACCTTAAGGTATCTCAGCTGCTTGTCTCTCTGCTAGGAGAGAACATTACTAGATTCCTAGAAAAGGTTTACAACAGAAAAGTTGTTTACTGTGTTCCAAGCAAGTCAGTATTACAGTCAACCAACAAGACACAGTTTAATTTTAATAAGCCTGCCTCTAAATGAGAAGCCAGATACAACAATCAGTGTAACAGGCTTCCAGCATGTAAGCAATAATCCATTCATACATCTTGTTAGAAATATATGCAACGTACCAGAAACTCCTGCTGGTGTCTTTATGAATTTTCCATTAAAATGAGCAATCACTGCTTCACATTTTTCTGTTGACTCCATCCTAAGAAAATAAAGAATAATTTACATAAATTAAACACTCAACCAGATTCCCATGTATGTGATTTTTCTTAAAGCATATTTCTTGCTTTTTCTCAAAGTATATTTCTTGCTTTTTCTCACTTCACTATTGTGGCTTGCTTTCCCATGTGTGAGCAATAGAGATGTTTTCTAAGAAAAAATAACTTCAGAAAGATAAAACTAAACTCATTAACATTTTAAGCACTCTGAGACCAAAGTCAGTGCCAAACCGAAAACACTATACTCCTATTTACTTAGAAATTAGGCAGCTTGGACAGCTATAGTGTAAAGGACCTTTGTTGTCTTGAAAGAAGCAGAAAGACTGAATCACTGTAACTCATAACTGAATCCTTGGTGTCCATGATGCACACAACAAAGGTTAATGTCACTCTTAATAAAGGATTCTGAAGTGTCTGTGCATTTTAAGAGTAATAAACTCAAATATAAACATGGCTGACTGAATGACCCAAACTGACTTTGCAGCTTTCAGCTTATACACATCATCTCAACTAAATGATGTACCTGACTCCTATTTAATTGTCTCCTAGTTACCTTCAAAACAGGAACCAATTGCAGAATAGCTGTGATAGATACTGAGAATGTATCCAAAATCCTGAACAGGTTTGTGCACTTAGGCTGTTAAATCCAGACTTAATAGACTGTGCAGGCTACTGGTGAGCTACTGCCAGTCTGGGAGTGGTTCCGGAGGTTGCAGCTACGCCCTTGCACTGCAGCGTAGATGTGTCTCTCCTAAATGTCAGCTTGAGCTAAGTTGCAGTGGGTGACTGAGATGTGCAAGTAAAACAAAATTTATTTTAAAAGAAGAATACATTTTGCAGCTGTCTGCAAGATGATATACGGTAATGTCAAACAGATAATTTCTTTTTATTTTTTCATTAAGTTCTATAATTCATATCCACAAATTAGGTAAATGGACTCAGCAGCAAAAAAACAGGACTAAAGTTTACTAAGTCTTGGCATCTTTTTAATTCTGATAGCCTTTCTGCACATGCTGACAATATATATTACAGACAACAAGCAAAATGCCAGACTGAACAAGAAGTTTTCCTCATTATTCCAAAAATACCTTTTAGAGAAATTTTGGAGGTTTTGGATTGTTGGATCAAAGAAATCTAATTTTTTTTTGTCTCACATAAAACAAACAATATAATTTAGTTTTAGACTCAAGTCCAGACTTGATAAAATACATTACTCCTCATTAATCTGATAAAATTCTCCCAAAGGCAAGAAATTAAAATATATATTTAATGTCTACAAGTTTCTTGGACAATTTTAACTTTAGTTAATATTTATCCAAAAATGTTCCAGTAGAAGAAAAATGTTCACCTTGCAAAAGGAAAGAAGTTCTAATTAGATATAACAGCAATAGCTTATTCAATAACTTATGTATACTATGCATATTTATGGTATAAATAAATAGGTATATAAAAATAACTTCACATTTATGCATATATAAAACTTACGCCACATAATGCAGAAACTGTTGAGAAAATAATTGAAAACTAATCTCTTTTAAAGTCTTCAATAGAAGTGAGGTTTCAGACACACTTAAGTCTTTTGGACTTTTGCATGCAATTCTGAAACACATCCAGCTATATTAGAAAAAAAAATATTTTCCTACCATACCACTGATTCAAGAGAGAGTTGGTAAGCAAGTTTAGAGAGAAGAAAGAATACAAAATGCCTACATAATTTTAGCTTGGATGTTGGTGCATTCTACCCTTCATAGTACCAAAAAGTGAAAGCTACATATAAAATACAAGTGTATGAACGAAATAGAAATGTCACTTAATTTTACACCAAAAATATCACAAATGCTTTTTGATTTATTTAAACAGGACAGGAAGAAAATTTGGTAAACTCCAAACACAGATAATGAATATTGTCCTATTCTGTTCCTTTATTATACCTTCTTGAAACTGGACAGCCTGAAAAGTAATTAAAGCAGGGAATTAGGGGGTTGGGAGGGAAGAGATTAAAAAAAAAAAAAAAAGAGAAAAATAAAAATCACAGTGCTGTGAAATACCCACATCCAACTCACAGGAAAACCAACCCTAAAAATTTTGGCTTCATCACAAGACATAATTTGTTCAGTTCTTTTCTGTGCACTAATTTTAGATTCTGCCACTTGTTCAAATACAGAGCTATTGTAATACTGGCTGAACATCTGAATTACTGGAATTTGACTTCACAGAGATTTTATAACATATTTTGAGAACCCAAATTCTTTGCTCAAAGCATGCCCCTATTTTTGATGATAGAAATCTTCAATTTAGAGCCTCTAAATTTTGATTTTTGCACAAGGTTTAAAGCAGGAGTTAGTAATAAACAGAAACAAATATTAGAAAGGCACAGAAAAGGCTTTGATGAAGAGATCCCAGAAAAATTAACTCAACTAACTAGGGAAAAAGTAGACTCACATGGACAGAATATTTGGGAGGTATCTACTAATTTATGGAAAATACTTTCTCTTGTTGATTTGGGTGGGATATTTGACAAATCAGTCAATTATTTTAGGATGAGATTTACTGTAAGTGAATAAAAATATTTTCTTTCCCAGTTGACATCATGTTAATGAGCCTGAAAATTCAAAGGGCTGATGTTCAAAGGGCAAGGATGTGTTCATTTTCTCTAAGGAGCTAATGAAGAAAAAGAAGGAAAATAAAAGGCAGGGGGTGGGGAAGAAGGGGTTCTTCCTTCTGGTCTCCTGTCTCAGATTCAAACTTCAAAAGCCAGAAAAGTCACAGGAGAAGTCTCTGTGAAGCATTGCATAACTCTTGCTCATTGTTTCAGGGATAGAGGAAAAAGGAGAAGTACAGAGAGGGGAAGGAAGTGGTTTAGAGTGAACCTTTATTCTAGATTGTCCAGTAAAAGCAATAGATTCAGATTTAGCCATCTAAGCAAGATGAGACACAGCCATATTTGCTTCACCAAAGGAAGAATTAACAAAACCCTACAGGGTATCTCTGTCTAGATCTCCCTTCTCTTTAAAAACTTTAACGTTTTCAATAATTTCTGCCTTTTCCTCCTATTGCTGCCTTTTCAATTATAAAAAGGAAAAAAGCTGCCAGCATGGCTAACACCACTGACGCACCTCGCAAAGCCAACGCCACGGCTGGTCCCACTCGAGTCCCGCAGTATCCTTGTGGAGATAACCTGCCCAAAAGGTTTCAGCATGTTCTCAAGCTCCTGCTCATCCATTGAAAGCGGCAAATTAGAAATGTATAAGTTTGTTGGGTCTTGCTCTTGTTGCTGAAAGAAAATTAGAAACAATTGTTATCACTGTTATCACTGACATTTTGCATATCAAATAAACCACCAACTACATAAAACTTCTGGTGCAGATTTTTACTTCTCAGGCCCCTTTCTAAAGGCTACTCTTCCCTAGTATCAGTGACCTCCATCTTGTGCCACTGCATGCAGCATTCCTGAGAAAGTTCCCTTCTCCGATTACTGCTGACAATGACATTTTTAAGTGGAGATAAAGGTGAATAATTGACTAGTTTATAGTCCATTTTACCAGTTCATGTTTCAGATTTTTCTGAAAAGAAGGAAAGGAAAAATGAGACAGAGAAAACAAGTTAGGAAAAAAGGAAATGCAAGAGTGGTTGAAAGAGCTAAAAAAGCCAGATGTAAATTAAAGAGAGAAAAGGTTGGAATGAAAATATGAAAATAATGTGAGGAAAAAATGAGAGAGTGCATTTAAGAACATGTACATTCCCAAAATACTACCGTAGTGATACCGAAGTGAGTGGGACACTCCTGTGTTCTCCCACACATGAACTTTTTTGAGTTTTCACCAAACTTTTACACTACGCATTTAGACAATACAAAAGTCTTTCAAAAACTTTCTCTAGAAACAGACAAAATGAGAGAGGAAGGCAGTCAGGAGATGAGCGATTAGGGAGGAGACAAACATGGTCACATCTTTGCCATCTCCCTGACCTTGGGCTACGTACTGTGTGTGATCTATGTATGTACCATCAAATGTCATCGCAAAGAAACATTTTTATTGAAATTTATCATTGAAATTTATTATTTCCAGCATTTGTCTACAGACTTCCCAGTTGCGGTTAGGGAGCATCTCTCTCATACTGGTAATCACTGGCCCTGCCCTGTGCTGAAATATATTCTTAATCTACACAGATTTCTATGACTTGGCCCTTAGAGTTCTGCAAAACCTTGATGTCATCATTGTGGGTCCCTGTATAGATCTAAGTCTTTGCAGGATGTAAACATTCACTTTTCTTTTACGGTCTGAAACAAATACAATTTTTATAGAATCACAGAATAGGTAAGGTTGGAAGGGACCACTTGGGGTCCAACCTCCCCACTCAAGCAGGGTCATCCTAGACCATGTGGCACAGGATTTAGAACCAGATGGTTCTCGGATATGTCCAGTGAGGAAGACCCCACAACCTTGCTGGAAAGTCTGTTCCAGTGCATGGTTACCAGCACAGTAAAGAAGTTCTTCTTGTATACAGATGGAACTTCCTGTGCATAAGTTTCTGCCTCTTGTCCGAACACATTTGTTGGTCCAAATGCATTTGTTGGCACAGTCATCGATATATTTTCATTTTGTACAAGAAGGCCAAGTGACTTACAGGAAAGTTTGAATCACAACAGAAAACAAAAACAGAACCACAATACTTGACTACTGGAATTGAAGCACTTGTTACAGTGATTGTACTGTATGAATGGTGATATCTTCTCATGGAGATTAGGCATCAATTTGTGCTTATGCTGCCCTTACATTAATAATATCTGAGTACCTTTAGTAGCATATTGCATAATTTATTATTTTGCTATCTTGGGTATCACCTCTTAGTTTGGGTTAGTTTTCCATGGGAAAGAAAAAAAGAAAAAAAAAAAACACAAAAACAAAGGCATTGGGGCTGGGGTGGGAGGTCGCACCCTTTAGAGACTGTTCCAAAAACTAATGCTCCTGTTCCAAAAACTAAATGAAAATCAAAAATGGGGAAGCTAATTCTGTGCTCAAAAACCTTCAGGTTTTCATTTTTATCCTAAGCCTCACATTTATTTTGAAAGGGCTAATGTTTTCAAGTTTTCTATAAGGGTTTTTAAAGAAATTTGAGCATCAAAGGGTCCATAAGAAACACATTCTTCCGTTATATCCTCCTGATATGCATGCCCATGCCACTGATATGACTGTAATTCCTAGCCACACCGAAATCCTACATACGAACAAAATGAATTTTTCCAACTCCAAAGTTTTGCCCTCATAAGCCCCTTTACAGCCTATTACAAATGGCATTTCACTACTCTGTATGATTTTCCTTTTGTTATTTAGTGGAAACATCCCCCTCCCAAAATATGTCTATGCAGTGCATATGTCTATGCAGTGCACAGACAAGTTTGGGATTCAAATTATCTTAGGATACCTGATTTCTTTTTCAAATTAGACAAATCAGCAGAGAGAGAAGACAAGAAAATGGATTCACTGAGATGCCAGAGCTGACGTTAATATTAATTGCTGGGTAGTGTTCGACCATGAGGGAAAACCTACATTATAGTAGTTAAATCTTGACATTCAGTCCAAATTTCCTCAGGCAGGAATCTGAGACAAAAAACAGCTTTCACATTTTTAAAACTAGTTAGTTATTTTGTCTGTATTAGGCAATTTTGCTTTGCACTTGAGATATGTAGCTTAGCTTCCTTCTTTAATGAGTTCTATTAGCAAAAGCTTCACATGAGGTTTCAGTCATGAAACATTACAAAATTGCATTTGTAGCTACAGCATGATTTCCTGAAGTTCCAAATAATATTTGAAAGGAAAAATGCTGAAGTTTTTACTATTTCTAAGCTGTAAAATATATTTCATGCAAACATCCTAAAACTTCCCTAAATAACCTAAGACAGTACATAAGCTGGAAAGCCAGACTGTCTGCATATTTTCATCTAATTTGCTAATTTTTTTACTGTACAATAACAGAAAGTATGAATTATATTGTAAAAATGTTCTCATTAGATAGTCTAACCCTTGGAAAGATAAGGCCCCATTTTGTTCACACTAATAAAAATGTAATTTACATGCAAAAAAATAAATGCTTACATTCAGAAACACCCAACAGAGAAAGAAATTCAGTTAAGTGCAGAATGTCAGAGAAGCCTGTTCAGGTGACTGGGTAGAGCACATTCACCTTCTCTCAGGCTCCTATTGCAGCCTAGGGGTTACCAGACTTCCACATTATACTGGCACTGTATGTGAGATGAGAGACCATGAGCTTTCCTCGCCAAAAGGAACACAAGGACCTACTACAACTCACTGTACATGCTGGAACATTAGATTCTTGTACTTATGTGCCTACTAGAGAAAACTTCATGCCATAAAATCACATAACACTGTTGTTAGAGAAGGCAATGCTCCACTTTGAAAGAATACTAGCAACTTCACCACTAACCCACAATGCAAATCCCTTAGGAACAGAGAGAAAAGAGAAGTGCATCTGAGGAAATTGTTCTAAGGAAACCGCTTTCTCTGAACAGAAAGCACTTTGTGATGAAAAATTTTACTTGTGGTCCATGAAACAATCCGCATTTTCCATTATTACCTATTGGGTTTTGATCAAGTACACGCTGAATGGCTGACTGGAAAGGACTTATTCCTGCTTTCCTGAGCCTTTCTCCATGTCAGAGTCTATTACAGCCTGAATGCTCCCAGGGATTCCGTTATTTCTGCTTTTGATCTTTGGACAGAACATGCAGACCACACCGGGACAAAGCAGAGGTTGAAGACACTTCACATATCTATAGCTAGAACTGGTAAAGATGGTAGGCAGGGGAGAGAGGAAAAGCAAAATAGCTGCCAGCAGATGAAGATGTCTCACTGAAATCCTGAAATACAAGTTGGAATTTCTTCCATCTGTATTTCTTCCAGAACAAAATAGTGGAAATGCCAATAAACACATTCCACAGTGCACCGAGGCGGTATCTGCACTGCATGTGCAAACCCATGGCCACCCTGGGGAGCAGTAGCGGTTCAGCTATAAGGACAAATCTTCACTTTGCAGGGAAAGAAAAGAGACTGCCATTCATTCTCAAAAGGGCTCATTTACAATACTCATTTACAAACCCAACTACTGTTGGAAGTTAGATGCAAAGCAAGACTGAACTCTTTCTAGACAGTATTTGGAATTTTTATAAAGTTTGGTAGCATGAAAATTATACCTATTAATGTGCAAGACACCTCCTCTCCTCCTGTGTACAGTTTATTTCACCATGCAGCTTTTGTCATGTCCACAAGACTACTAAACCTTGACACAGCTATCTGGGTAGGTTCTAGATGATTGTAAGCAGCAATTTATTTCCTCCCCCTTAGAACATGCTGGATTTCCAAGCTGACTTTCAAATAGCAACCACAACTAGGACTCCCCATCCATCTTTATGCTATCTTACACAAAAGGCACTGCGCAAACAGATGTTTGCTTTTATACAAGATTTTGGCATGCAAAATGTTTAACAGTTAAAAATTCAGGAAGTTAGGAGAGAGAGAAACTTTTTAACTCATGCCTCTCTGTCTCTGGCAAGCAGGAGTTTAATACATTAAGTTCTGTGACTTCCTTCCATAGTGAAACCTGCCTCACCATAGCTTAGTTCACATGGTTATTACAATTCTGCTTCAGAAGACAAAAATAATTCCTTTGATATCTGAGTTTTTAATTCCTTTTCTGGAATGAAGCAAAAAAAGTGAAACCAGTGAAAATACCTTCCAATGTATCTCAGCCCAAACCTTGCCTATACACTGTAATCATTCTAAATGCTTTAAAGGCAGGTGTTTCTTCCTGTGCTTAAAATCCACGAAATTCTATATGCCTCTTTCACCTTAGAAATCTTAAATCTCTTGAAATTATTTGCATTTTTTTATAGAAATGATCAAAAATATTTACTAGAGTCAGTGGGAAGTCTCCTACTTTGGGCCAGCAAGCCAGCATTAAAATATAAACCACTGACTATATATATATATATATATATATATATGTTATTTCTACACAATTTAGGAACACTGCTTAATTTGAAAGTCTTCCTATCTCACAAAGGGTTGTCCTCAGCTAACAGAACTGTCAGCATGTCCTGATAGACACTGAAATTGCTAAATATTTTCAGATTATGGGCAATATCCAGGAATTTGTGGGCTACTGTAAGTATCTACATTACTGAGGAAACTAGAAAGTCTTGTTTTTAGCAGTGCAAGTCATCAAGTTTCTATCAGTCTTTTTTCAACAAACGCCTTC